GGCCAACAGTCCCTCTGTACTCAGCACTGACAATGCCACACCTCAAATCCTGTGCTCAGTTTTGTACCCCTCACTGTAAGAAGGTCATTGTGGTGCTGTGTGTCCTGAGAAGGAAAACAGGGCTGGTGAAGGGTCTGGAGCACAAGTCTGATGAGGATCAGCTGAGGGAGCTGAGGCTGTTTAGCCTGGAGAAAGGGAAGCTCAGGGGAGGCGTTATTGCTCTCTACAACTACCTGAAAGGAGGTTGTACTCAGATGGAGGGTCAGCCTCTTCTCCCAGGTAACAAGTGACAGGACCAGAGGAAATGGCCTCAAGTTGTACCAGGGGAGGTTTAGATTAGATAATAGGTAACTATTTTTTCACTGAAAGGGTTGTAAAGCATTGGAACAAATTTTCTAAGGAAGTAGTGGAGTCACCATCCCTGGAAGTGTTCAAAAAAATATGTGGATGTGGCAACTGAGGACATGGCTTAATGGTGAACGTGGTGGTGGTGCTGGGTTGATGGTTGAACTGGATGATCTTTTCTAACATTAATGATTCTATGTTTAAAGGTACTGTGGCATTTTTGTTTGCAAGATTTCAAAAGAATTACTTTTCTTTTTGTGAAAATATTCATGATTCCAGGTTTTCTTTCCTAAGATCCTTCCTCATTCCCTTGTGGCGTCACTCCTAAGGAATAAACATACCTGTCAGAGCACTGTTTGCCTGAGAGACAGGTTTGAAGCTTCTGCACTGCCTACCCAGGAGACTTCCCACGTGCAACCCCAGGAATCAGGCTGGCTGCTCACCTAAGCTGCGATTATTCCATATGCACCTTCCTGGTCTGCTTCCAGCACGGAAGTAACAGACCTGGGTTTGAACCTTATGCTTTCCACACTACAAGTTTAAATACAAGATCTTGTTCTGCAGTTGTTTATGACTGACATCATCATGTGCAGTTTTCTCATTGGATTGTGTCAGCCATCCAAACTCAGGCCAGCCTTTAGCATTTTTGAAAATATACTGAGGTGTCAAAATAGCAGTATTTCAGAGGTTCTAGATAGATAATTTCTCACAGAAGAAATTAAGTTTCAATATCAGAGTAGTTTTATGTTATTATAACTACTGTTGTGTGATGGGTACTATTCTATTTTTATTTTTTTTACTATTTTTAGCCATATCTCTAACTGTATAGCATAATATTTTTAAGCTGGATATATGAATTTAGAAATACAATCAAAACCTTTACCTCCCTTTGCCTCTGAAACCCAGTTTTCAAGTTAATGCCCATTGCAGGCTGGTGGCCAGAGGAGTTCAGCCTCACAGCTGGGCTGCCATTCATCAGTCCTTCAGCCCAAGTCATACTGGAAAGTGTCCGTAGCTGCACAGCCAAGCTCAGCGAGCTGCATGTGGCACTGCTGTCATGGACCGAAGTACGTGGACATATGCTGGTGGGAGCTAAGGCAGAAGTGAGAATTGGTGCTTAAAACGTGGGATATTAGGAATTTTACAGTTAAGGTCTACTCTCTCTCTTCCTGAGTGCCTTTCTTGTGCTCGTCCCACATATCTCTGCTCCCTCTTCACTTTCTCAGGTTTTTCCTGCCCTCCTTTCATGAGCAGCTCTCTGCATTTTCCTCTGCTCTCTTCATGCTCTCTCCTCACCATAAGAGAGACCTTTCAGGGAATGGATTACAATGTGAGACAGCAATTCTGTGTTCAGATTCAGTCTTAACTGTGAAGAAAAACAAGGCCCACAGTCCATGGTGCCTCACACAGGTTCTCCTGCCTGCAAAAGCCTCTGATAAGACAGACCCTTTAAGACCCCACTTTTAGCTCATTAACACTGTCTGCCATGTCTTCTCACATACTTTGTGTGCTGTTTTTATGGTCTGTGAGATGGTTCGACGCTGTGGGCTCTGCTTGGTAGCCTTGAGCTTCGATGTCTTCTTGGCTTTAGCTCTCAAACTGGCTAATGGGGGAGTTGGCTCCCCTCAGACTGCTGGATTTTCTGTCGTCTCAGGATCAAGCTATTGTCTGCCCTCTGTAGCTCTCTGACTTCAGATGTAACATATTTTCAGTATTTCATAGCAGGTTTGTTTGTGGATCTTCCAGTACTTTCCTGAGTGCTATTTTACTTTGGTCTGTGGTGGTCCTGTCCTCTCACAGGAACTCATGCTCCGGTTTCAATGTGTTTGATGTGCAGCATCAGAGCAGCAACTTGCTCTCCCACGGTTTTACCTTCCTTCACAAACACTGAGCAGTTAAAAACAACATTCTTTTCATGTTTTCTGTCAAGAGCAGCACTCCCCATATGTCACTGCTCCCATCTCAAGTTTGACACTTCCTGCAGTCCTGACTGTATGTTTGATCTTGTGGAAACTGTCTACGAGCAAGGACAACTTCATTGCACCCTGCACAGACCTCTGAGAAGTGCAGGTTTCTAACATGTGCTACTGGCTCCCTGTCTGCCGTCCTACAGCATCTGTGCAGGTCCTTCTCCCTTCAGAGTATTGCGCCCGGGACATGTCCTCACCTTAACTCGTTCCCTTTCAGCCCTCTCAAAGGCTTCAGGGTTTTATGTTGGAATAATAGTTTCAGTTTTTTTAAAGTACATCAGTCCATGGAGTTCAACTCTTCATTACCCCACAGTGTACCTGAACCACCTGCTTTTGCATGTAAGGCAGTTCTGTCAAGTAACCAGTAACTAAATGACCTGGGGAAGGCTGGGTGTACCATTTGGCATTATGGTGGCAGGTGAAGAAGTAGCTAATGGCACCAGGCAGATAATTTGAAATTTTTGTACATTAAAGAGATGGTTAGAGTTAAGACTGAGAGTGTTTATCAGAAAACCAGAGTCAGAAATTCGCAGCTACTCCTAAAACAAACACTTGGCAGTTGTAAGAAAGTAAGCATTTAACATTAGATTTTAAATCTAAACACAGCAAAGCATGGAAACTTAAGCAGTTTCCAAACAGTTTCAACGCTAACCTGTAATGTCACCGTGAGGAAGAAAAAAATATTTTCAAAACGCACCTTATTTGTCAGCAGGAATGATAAAACCCAACCATAAAAAGGATGCTACAGACCTTGGATGGTGACTACAGACAGATTTAGATCTGTTTGGTCATGGAAATACAGATGGAACTAGTCTGGAGGTACATATGCAAATGTGCTCAGATGTGACAAGAATGGGTGCTCACAGGCAGTGATGCTGCCAGAGTGCTGAGGCTGAGTGAGGGTATCTGTAAGCACATAGCCAGTGTCATACAAATTAGGACTAGCTCTCTGCTAGTTTGTGTCAATAAACATGCACAACTGCTAAGCCATGAGTCTATTATTTGTATTTTAGTAAATCCTAATAACCCCCCTATTAGTCTTAAAATCATGTGGGAGAATGTAAACATACATTGTAAACAAAATAGTATTTCCATCCTGGTTCTAAGGTTTACAACCATTACCACTTCTAATAAGAAAAATTATCACATGTTCATCATATTGATATTTAAAAGCTTCATTAATACTTGGAGCTATGTTCCTAAGATGTGTAGAGACTCATTATTGAGGCAGTTTTTCACTCTCAATAGGTGCACGTAAAACCCTGTTTGCACTAGAGATGTTCTTTTGTATAACAACAATCTGAAGTTCACAGGCATGAAATATTACTGGCAAAATTAGCATATTTAAATTAAACAACAAAAGGTGCTCTTGGGAAAAGAGGAAGAGGGAAAAGTATCCTGGCCATCTTCAGTGTTTCTGCAGCATGGAATTGGGTTCTGCTGCAAGAGTCATTACTGGCTTGAGGCATACATACATCTGTCTAATAGTTTAATTTTATCTGTGACAGTGGGAAAAAAACAACAAAAAAAACTAACAAGTTGATAGCTTGCACATTTTTCCCCTTCCTGTGACTTACAAGAGTAAATCAAGGTGAAGCTTGTGGCAGCTCCTGACAGGCAGACCAGGTACCCTCTGTGTAGAACTTTCTGGCAAGGAGAGGACCTTGTGCCCACTGCCACCTTCTCAGGTGATGCAGAGTGGCTCTTCTCACACTCACAACATCAGGAGGAGCTGGACTGAGAGCTGGACGTGGTGCCCACCTTGTCCTCCCCCTTATTTTGCAGCTACACTCCTTATTTTTTGCAGCCCAGAGGTGGAAAGGAGATTGCAGAGCAATATGAAACATCTACAGAAACTTTCATTTAAAAATAGAAGTTCAGTTAGAAAGTAGAATATTGACTAAAATAAACAAGGGTGTGGTGCTTGTAAAATTTCAGGACTTCTTGTTGGGGCTACAAAGCTATCTACCATCTAAGTAATAGCCCTGTCAGTCTTTGGCTGTCCTACATTTGTGTAGTTAGGAACCAGCTACAGGCTAGGTCTTTAATTTTTCCAATTTTCATTTTACAATCCCTAGTTGCAAATTATGTGGAAAATGCTTTGTTCAAAAGAACCAAAGTGTCAATGGATGCAATGTGGAATAATTCAGATTGTATAATCCTGTTTTAAATACATCATAATAGACCCATTGTTAACTTTCAAAGGTATGAATGAATGTCTTGCTGAAATGACACAATTAATCAAGCATATTGAGTCTCTACAGCCTCTGAAATAGAACTCCTTTTACTGCCTGACAGAAATGGGAGTCCTTTTTGTTTTCCCTCTCAAGAATCCTGACACCCCCCAAAAAACCAGAATATTCTTCTGGTTTTGTTCACACAAGAGAACCATGTATTAATGTAGCAAATCTTCCTAGCAATGTGTTATCAATTTTTGGCTGTATTCCATGAGATTGATATGATAGTAAAACTACAAGAAACATTATTACATTATTAAAAAGCACACTCTTCATAATTTGGTACATTCTGCTTGGAAGCCTGAGACATCAATGACTTCTTCAGCATCCTCATGCAGCACACTCTTCTCTCCTGGCATTGATGTATGAGCTACTGTTTACTCAGGACTCGACTTAATTTTTGTTTGCTGGATGTCAATTTTATTTTGTCATATGTTTCAATTAACAGGTGTGTATGTAATATAGACTGCAGTGGATACAGTTTTAATCCTGTATGTGCTTCTGATGGAAGTTCCTATAACAATCCATGCTTTGTTAGAGAAGCGTCATGTCTGAGGCAAGAGCAGATTGACATCAGGCATCTCGGACACTGCTCAGGTAGGCTTAATTTTGTTTTTCTGGAAAGGTAAATTCTGACATAGGTGGGCTTGGTAGAGCTTTCCCTTTTACATTTTTGATCAGAAGTCACTGATCCACTTATCCATGAACTGCCCACCTGTAGTTTTGAGTTTCCCACACTACATACATGTGTGCTGTGTTTACATGACCTTTGGCTGTTGTTACCTGGAAAGACAGGAAAAGCTCTTAGGAAAATCTAAGCCGTTATCCAACAGTTCTTACACAAGGGCACGGTAAGAAGTAGGAAAGCAAAAGGAATATGGGTGTGTGGGAAATGCTCCCTCTTGCTGCTGTGGGTTGTACAATGTGCTTCCAAGGTGAATCGAGTTGGGTCCCAATTGCACAAATACTGATCAATTAATCTTAAGGGTCTTTTCCCACCTAAGTGATTCTGTGATTGCCTTTTCCAGTGCTGGAATGGTCCACTGAAACCCTCTGTCTACTGCCTTGTAGCTAATCATGTACGTGACTCTTCGGTTTTGGGGGCTTGCATTTAGGACTTTCTCTTGGGAATAACAGCTTTCCACTATCTCTTGGCCAGTTACATCTAGATCTGTAACTTGGACCATTCCAACACCAAAACAGACTGTCACCAAAATAACCTAGGTCCATACTGCAGAAAAGTTTTTAGTTCAAAACCTACAGCTTGTGTTGGTCTGGACACCAGGGTTACTGACCAAGCTGGTTATATGGGAGGAACAATGTGGGAATGTGTCCAGTTTTACTGCAATTTAAAATAATTCTTTGAATATTATTCTGGCTTCTCAATGACGTACATGTAGTGGTCTGGAAAACAGCCTTTCCTAATAGCTAACCATGCATGTGTTTATCACCTAGAAACAGATGACACAAATGCAGTTGGAAAGAAAGATGATGGCATGCAGTATCGACCAGAAGTGAAAGGTACTGTGCAAACTTTGTGCTATTTGGTTATGGCTTCACAAGATGAGAGAACAGAGCATGCTAGTCCCTTCTTGTCTGCTTTACAGCTTTGATTTCTGTAACTGAGACAGACCTGTGAACAGCTTCTTTCTTACAGCATGTTGCAAGGTTGGCAAAAAGATGTGCATGATTTGTAAGTTTTACCTGCTACATTCCTTTAAGATGACCAACTGCTTACCACCCTGTACAGTGGCCACAGATTAGACTCCCTCCAAGTGCTGTGAGAATGACTTTACTGGAAGACACCAAGCTGTGACATTCCTGATGAAATAACATAACACAAGCCTCCCTCCCATGATCCCATCTCTTCAGTTAACTTCCAAAAGTTAATCATCCAAAATGGATGATTCTGTATTTGTTAGGTTGTTTTAAAATATTTTCAGTAAACTAATACACATTAAATCACATTGGTTGAAAATGTTTCACCTATATGAACCTTACCTTACCTTTAATAACCTTTGATGTCTCAGCTTTTTCTTCATCCCTATTAGTCACATCAAGTATCAGTCCAATGCTTTCTTTAGACCTCCTCTCGCTATTAACACACTTTAAAGCTATCTTCTTGCTATCTTACACAAAACTGGCCAGATTCAACTCTAAATGAGCTTTGGCCTTTTGTGTTTTTTCCCTGCATATACGAACCACAGCTCTGTACTCTTCTTGTGAAGACCTGATCTCACTTCCAGTGATCATACAAATTCTCTTCCCTGTTGAGCTTCACAAAGAATTCCCTGTTCACTCAAGCTGGTCTTCTGCCCCAGTTGCTTGACTTATAACACAATGGAATTGTCTGCTCCTGTGCTTCTAAATGGTGCTTCTTAAAAATTGACCAGCACTCCTGGAGCCCTAAGCCCTCAAAAGCAGATTGCCAGGGTACTTGGCTAAATAGTCCTATGAATAGCTTAAAGTTTTTTATCCTGAGCTCCAGGGTAGCAACCCTGCTGTCCTTTTTTCTCGTTATGCTGAAAACTCAACCATTTAACTCAACCATTTCATGATCACTATGGCCAAGACAAACACCTATGATTGCATCCCCTGTGAATCCTCTGTTCACAAATAGTAAGCCTAAGAGGGCTTGGCTGACTGAGTACCTGTGACAAGAAGTTATTATCTCTACAAACATCAAGAATTTCCAAGACCAGTTCACCACAGCAGTATTATGTTCCCAGATGATGTCAGGGAAGTTAAAAATATCCCGTAAGGAGAAGGGATACCAATCCAGAAATTTCTCATAATTGCTTATAGAATAATTTACATCCTAGCTGAGTACTCAGTAGTAGGCGTCCACTACCACATCTATTTGTTTTCAATCCCTCTAACCCTCACCCAGAGGCTCTCAACCACATGAGCACTAATCCTAAGTGCTGTACAATCAAATCTTTCCCTTCCATATAGCATGACACCTCTAACTTCTCTGTCCTGCCTGTCCCTCCTGAACAACCTGTAGCCCTCTATCCCAGCACTCCAACTGTGAGACTCATTTACCAAGTCACGTAAATACCAATTATATCATAGCTCGGTGCTCTGACCAATGCTTCCAGTTCATCTTGTTTGTTTCTCGTGCTGTGTGTGTTGGTGTACAAGCATTTCAGATATGCTCCTGAGCTCTCTTGTGTTCCCAGGAGCAGTGCAAGTGTTCCCACTAGCACTTACCACCCTCAGGTGATACCATACCAACCCATGTCTTACCTACTGCAATTCTATTGGCATCCTATTCCCCCATTAATTCTAGTTTAAAGGCCTCTCCATCAGTCCTGCCATCTTATGCCCAAAAAGGTGTTTTACCGTTCAGGACAGGTGGGTCCCATCAGGCCCCAGCATACCTTGTGTTTCACAGTCTCTTCCATGATTTAAAATCCCAAAGTTTTGGTGGAAACACTAATCCCAGAGCCAGGTATTGATATTCTGTGCTCACTTGTTTCTTTAAAGTCTCTCCACATTATTGGGAGGATTGAGATGAAACATTATACTCCCAAATTTTTTTAGTATTGTACCCAAGGCTTCTGAAATCTCATTTGATTGACCTCAGACTTTTCCTTGCTACATCAATAGACACATGAAAGAGCAGGACTGGGTAGTAGTCTGAAGGTTGTAATAACTTCTTCAGTCTTGTGGTGACATCCCTAATTCAGGCCCCAGGAAGGTAGCAAACTTTCCTGAAAATAGAGTCCAGTCTGCAAATGGGTGCTTCCATTCTGCACAGGAAGGAATCACTAATGAAAATCACTCACTGTTCTTTCTCCTCAGCACTGGTCTTAATGCAGGTTTTGTTGGGAGGGGTTGGTTAGCTTCTTCTCTTAGCTCTGGTCTTTAGTTTTTTTCTGTCATTATACTTGTTTTGCACTCCCATGGCCTCGCTGAGTAAAGCCATCTCACCGTGGCTTTCAAAATTCCTTATGTTCTTCTTGAAAAGTCATTCAGTGCCAAAAAGCTTCATATATTTTTCTCTTTTACAAATTTTCGCTGCATATGATGTACCAGTTGGAGTGATTTAATGTCAATTTTCACTTACATTAGGAAGGTATAAAAGGCACCAAATGGAACATACATCTTATTATGTGATGTAATGAAACACCACTTTTGGTTCCTATTTCAAAGAAGTAACAGCCTTTTATTCATTGCATATAAATTGCTCTTGAAATCTAGTTAGTGGGAAAACCACTGTATATAATTATACAGCTTGTATTATATAGCTTGTGCAGTCTCACATTCAGCAAATGATGTGCATGGAGGGAGTATGCTTCATGAAAATAAGCTGTGTTGAATTTTTTAATGCGGTAGTCAGGTCATTTTAAATAGTGAGATCATGAAATGAACATCTTTGAATGACATTTTTTCTTCCAAGATAAGAGAACTGTCCACATTCCCATCTATTTGCTTTTGCTTTCAATTCCTGTGAGTTATTTTTGTTAAACTCTGTTGTCTGAATATATAATGCCTTTTAGTCTCTAGAATCCTGAAAGTCTCCTCCCACAGTGCAAGTGGCTACCTAAAGTTATATCAGAAAGGTCTCTCCTCCCAGATTCAGCTGGCTTGCTGGTTTTGTTGTAACAAGATGAGCATCAGGATTTCAGTTTTTATACGTGACTCATTCTTCTGGTGAAGTATTTGAACTCCTATATCCAGTCACGCTTTCAAGGCTCCTACACCAGTTAAATCTTTCACTTTGAAGTCCTGAAGCAGTCTAGCAGGTCTCTCAGATTAGAAATGGATTCCTGTCAATAGGAGGGTAAATGTCTGTTTTACACTAGGAATGACCTCCTGCATTTAACAACATCTCTTTGCTTAATATAAGTTTTACCTCTGACCTGTGTGACTGTGGCTACCTGGTCACCTTTCAGAGGATGCACCTTTCAGTCTTTCACTGGGCCTCACATTCTGTGTCAGTACATATATTAAAACCAGACATGGCACAGCTCTATGAACAGACTAATATAATTATCTGTAGCTTATTACAAGCCTTTAATTGGGACCAGATGTGACAGTAATTAACTGCTTGGAGGAGGAGGGAGATGATAGTTTTGGGATGAGCCATCACCACTTTTCTCCTCTTAGACAGGCAGAACATAGTCTCTTCCATCAGGGCATTAGTGGACATCTTGTCAGTTTTAAGCAACATTCTTCCCTTGTATTGAGTCTTCTGTATCTTCAAAACATAGCTTGGATCAACAGACTTCCTTATATCTAAAACCTCTAATAGATGGTTGGGATTTTTTTTGTCCTGAAACAAATTAAGAAACATTCCAGAAATGGTCAGGAAAAACCTTAACACAATAGCATGCCTTTTTTCTTTTTTTTTTTTGTCTTGTATAGATAGATTCTCTTTCTTGCTGGTGTTATTTCAAGATCTATTCTTCACAGTCCCTTTTGCTCTGCACTTGCAGTTCATTATAGTCTTTTATTTGTGATGCTAGTCTATTGACACAAAAATTAGTGTAATTCCATACTTATGCTCACATCTTAAGATCCCTGCTTTTTAGAGGAGTTCATTATGAAACACAACTTCTGTGTTTAGGACTTTTTTACAGAAAAATTTTTTGGGGAAATATGGTTGTAAATGAACACAGATTTGGATAGTTTTGTTAACATGACAGAAGCATGAAAGATGCTGAGGCAGAAGGGGCTGCTTTCCTGTGCTGGGCTGACCTGGACAGCAACTAAGTGCCTGCCAGCTACTTGCTCTATTCCAACTTCCCCCAGGACGATGGAGGAGGGAATCAGAAAGGCAAACATGTGAAAAATTCATTGGTCAAGATAAAGGAGCTTTAAGAAGTGAAAGGGAAAAAAAAGGAAAAAACCCCAAGCAATGCAAAATGTCCAACCAGCCGACTGAAGACCAGCCAGTCTCTGAGCAGCTGCCACTGATATCAAACCCATGGCTTTTATTGCTGAGCGTGATGTCATATGGCATGGAATATCTCTTTGGTCAGTTGGGGCCAGCTGTCCTGGCTATGTCCTTGCCCAGACTCTTGCCCAGCCCCAACCTCCTTGCTGAGGGGAGAAGCAGAGCACCCTTCAGCAACAGCCAAAACAGTAGTGTGTTGCCAGTACTATTTCATCCAAAATCTAAACCACAGCACTGTATGAGCTGCTATGAAGGAAGTTAACTCCATCCCAGCCAAAACCAGCACACTTCCCAAAAGAATAGGTATTTTAAGCACATTCCGATATTTTTGATTTCTCTCCCCATAAAAATGTTTCTCTGAGGAAGACTGCTATTGAAGTGTGTTTGATTTCAGTTTTAATGACCAGTGGTACCAGTCAAATCTGGACTTTATCAAGTGGTTTTCTATCCAGTAATCATAAAATGTGGTTCAGCTTCTTCTTTCTAATGCTTTTAAGAGGCGACTTTTTCCTCTATTTACACATGAGAGAGAGCTCTTTATATCATTGTATTAGCACTTTGCCCCAGTGCCACTGATGAAGCTTCTACTGATCTTCCTGCTTTGGCCTTTTTTCTGTCATGAACACTTTTCTGATTTTTGAGAAACCTTATGTAAGAAGCAAATTTAGATGTGTCTGAGGATCATTTCTAGAAAATCTTTGTAAGTGCCTCTGAAACTTCCCCCTTAAGCCTCTGCTTGATTTTTCTGTATTCCTTTACTGACTGCAAGTTTTTAAGGATATGGTATTCTTGGTTGACAGTTTTTAATTAGTATAATACAGCCATGTATAATTGTTTATCTGTATTTCTTTTCAAGATGCCAGTGATCAAAGAGAAGACATTTACATTGGAAATCATATACCTTGTTCAGAAAGCTTCAATGGTTACTGTATACATGGAAAATGTGAATTCATTTATTCCACTCAGAAGGCTTCCTGCCGGTAAGTCCTGCATGCTTCCAAAATGTGATTGAAATTGCTGTAAAGCTTAATCAAAATGCTCTCTAGACATAATTATGGGATGTATCACTTTGCTGTTATCTAAGCAGTGGCACAGGGGCCGTATCCCTGTGCTGTGGCAGCACTCAGCTGCTCCAGTCATGAGAGGGATAGTGCTCAGAGGAGAGGCTCAGTGAGTCAGGTAAATCAGAAGCTGAATCCTCCTGAGGAATGTAGCCTTGATGTTGTCTTCTTATTTTCAGCTGATAAATCCTATCTAGAGAAAAAAACCAAAGCAAACAAAACAAAACAAATATTAATAAGCCTTTGTCTTGCATTGCTTCTCTGTAAGACTCTGCTTTCACCGTTGACCTCTCTTCTTATACTATCTGTACATTTTATTGCTCCTGTCATAAGCTCTCTCTAGAGTATCAATATCTTATTTTTAACATTTCTTACCCTTTGTCGCAATAATAGCCTTTATCTAGAGAATATAAAATTGTAAAATATTCTTTAGCCCACACTTTTTATCTATAGTGTGATCTAGCAGCTCAATACACTCAGTATTAAGCCACTCAGTGTTTCCCAGGATATCCGAGTGTTCCTTAGCTACCAAATAAATTTTTTCCTTTAGATTTCACCAATTAAATTCTGTATCTTTGTTTTCCTCCAAAAATAAAATTTACTTTTAAGTTGGTTATAGAAAAAGGCCAGTTCTTCATAATAAAATGCAGTGCCCTACTTATTAGAAGGTTTCACTCCTGAACTTTTATCTTGGAAGCTTTTACCTTCCAATGTGGCTGAAGATGCTATAACTCTTTGCTTTCCTTTGCTTTTGACACTTCAACTGTAAAACCGTTGGATACTTTCACATTTTCTCCCTTGATCTTTATTGATCGATGATATTTAGAGGTTTTTTGTACTGACAAGATTTAAGGGTTTCCAGACTGATCAGAGAGCAGGAAGCCCAAAAGGCAGAGCCAGTACGGTTGTCAGCTTAAGCATTTGAAAGCTTATATTATTTCTTTTCCCATGCAAGACCCTTTCTTGTTTATTTTCATCTTTCCAATAGGACTGTTTTGTTTTTCTCTTCGACTGGAATCAAGAGAACTCAACGTGGCTTTGCTTCTCTTGGGAAGCTGTGTGTATCCCTCACATCATCTTGCTGGGCATTAGGCAGCGCTATCTGATTACAGTACTCTTTTGATCTAGAACTGTGTTTAACACAGTTTATAATGTATTTGTCCCCAAAATATGTGAAATAGAGGTATTTCAAGGAAAACATTCCTTTCTGAATTAATTGATTTTTAATTCCTCTTAATTTTTTTCTGGAACGTGGTAATCTCATAGTAATTAATTAATTTATGAATCAATGTATATTCAATCATTTATGTAATTATTATTACTCTAGAATTACTGACAGGCAGTGTTTTGATGAACTTAATTAATGTCCCATCCCTTTAAATTCTATTTTATAGTTGCTTGTAATATTACTACTTTCAGCTATGTATTTAAACAGCCTGAATCGTATCTCAGCACTGGACCTAGCACACCAAACCTCGCGTGATTCCAGTCAAGAATTTGTGACTATCAGTTCTTAACCCTGAGTATCAGATCTCCTTTGGATTTTTCTTACCTATTAATATACTGATGGTGTCATACGTTATGCATGTTTCCTACTAGAGTAAAGTTATTAAGGAAACAAATGGTTTATATCAGACATCAATCCACCATAGTAATCATGTACTTCTATCAAAGAAAAAAATTCTCTCCTTCTCTGGCAAGGAAAATGTAATGCTGAATGCTGGGGGCAAATTGTTATTTTCAAATGCTTTCCATTCTTATACACATCTAGCATATACATTGTTTAATTTGGTCCTCATTTACTGGTAGTGATATATGTGAGGTATCAGATGACCTATAAAACTGCAGAAAATACCTGCAGAGAGCAAATTCTGATTTTTGCTTTCACTGGGGGCAATGAATGTCCTTGCTTATTGTACAGGACTGCCAGCAGGCAGGTGGGAGAAAGGTTTTGTATTAGCCAACTGCATAGCATTGTGTTTAGTGGCCTTTGCACAGGTGGGATCTGGTCTGTCTCCTGCTACCCTTGTCCTTATGGCAGGCTGCTTCAAGGAGGCACAGTTCAACCCCTTACAAAGAAATCTAAACTTCTTTATGCTAACTCAATTAATTGACTGATTGGCTTATTTTGATAAATCCTTCCTGACCTCTATTGATCTTGCTATTATGCTAATACTATATTGTCTTTTTATGTATTAATGGAGCAGAATGCTTTTAAATCTGTTCTACTAGTTTAAGGTAGCTAGTACTTCATCTTACTTGAATCTCCATCCACTATTTCTCAGAAATAGTTTCTTGTCACTTCAGTGTTTCTGAGGAAGCATCTTTGAATTTTTTGTACACACTACTGTTTTGGCTGTTGCTGAAGGCTTTGTTTTGCCTCCTCTGCATTAAAGCAACTTTCACATTGATAACACTTCAACTGTTACCTTCTTTAATAAAAACAAGAGCAAAGTAACAAAAAGAATTCAGTCCTCTTGACTAACAAGGAGAACGCTTCCTTTTTGTTTCTTTTTGCATGATTACCAACATGTTCCCTGTCCTCATTTTTCTTGTGTGCTTATACAGAATTCTCTTTATTCCTTCCTTAGCTACCACTGAGCATACTTACAGTATATGACAGTTTTTCTTTAACAACTCTTACTGGAACTTGGTTCACGCCTGAACCAAAACTCCTTACACAGCAGGTCATGGCTGGAGAAAGTAGAGTCACAAGATTAGGAACATGTAAACCCCGACTATTATCCCTGCATGCAGAGGGGGATTAGGAGTTGCATTAGCAGTTGTAGAAAGGTCTTTGGTGTAATGATTTTGTTGCTCCAAACAGAATTAACTCCTACCCTAGCACAAAGCTTTTGAATGGATGAGTCTGATTTTGTGTTGCATTTGGGCTTGTCAGATCCAGTTTACAAAAGGATTATTTCTCTGCCTGCATGTGAGTATTTTTTTCTACTACAGAGCTGGAGGCCAACAGTATGATTCAGACACATTCGCATCAGTCACTTCTAAAGGACAGGTGTACAAGGAATTTGCTCAGGGTTGTAAGTGATGGCCTTTGATTCCACAAACTTCAACTCAGTGTCTTGGGTGGCTCTTGCATTTTCTTGCTATGCTTCATTCTCTTTTGCCTTGGGACACGAATTGCTCCAGAGCACTGCCTGAACTGTCATTGATCAGGAACAGCCTCTGCTGAGTTTCTCATTGAGCTAACTGCTGCTTGCTCAGGAAAGGTACCATTTGGAGCAGCTGCTTCTCTTCTGTCTCCAGCCATTTTTCCCCCACCCCTGGCCAATGTTTTTTAATTCTTCCATGAACCCTCACTTGAACAGTTGTGAGCCATTTGGTTTTCTAACCCGATCTCCATCAAATTTTGTCTTGGTGACAAGGCAGGAGGAGGTTTGGAGCTGGTTTTACCCTATAGGCTTTTGTAAGTTGTATTTTGAAAAAAGGATCTTCCTTTCTCCCCATATTTCAAGGTTTCTCTTCCTTTTTGTCATTTCTCTTCCTTATTGGCCATGGAGCTGAACGAGTATATTTACTTTGTGTTTCATTAGCATGCTTCTTTGTGTTTCATTTAGCCTTGTCTGCTTTTTTCACCCAGTTGCTTAATTCTTCATAAATATTGCACCAATATAATAATGACTCCACCTATTTCTTTTGGCAATTCAAGGCCTTCACCACACTAGTGTCTTTTCAGAGGGCCACTAGTAACCTTAACCTAAGCAGAGTGTATCTATTTGCTCTGTCTCTTGTACCATAGAAATCTAAACCATTCCCTAACCCAAGCTGTTACCACACCTCCACCTTCTTACTAGCTCTTTCTCAGCTGGAGTCACCTTACTTTTCTTATTTTATCTGCAAAATGACTAAGTTGTTGTCAAATTACAGATTCTGTGAAATATTCCTTTTTTTTTTTCAGATGTGAATCAGGATACACTGGACAGCACTGTGAAAAGACAGACTTTAGTATTCTTTACGTTGTCCCAAGTAGACAAAAGCTTACGCATGTTCTTATTGCAGCAATAATTGGAGCTGTACAGATTGCCATTATAGTTGCAATTGTCATGTGCATAACAAGGTAGGTAAAGACAAAAGCAGTGAAAACCTACACATTGTATAGCTATATTTTTCTACGTTTAAATGTATGATGCCCAACATTTTTTCTTTAACATATATCCTAAAATACCCCCATAAAAACTACCTAATGACTGAAACAGAAGGATTATGCAACATCCTATCTCCCCCTTTGTTTTTTGGTCACAAAAGACAGATTTTTTTAAATTCCAAAACCACTGGTAACCACTCTGAATCTCCAGACCAAATACACAGCAGAGCAGATCAGCCTTGAAACACATCCAAAAGGTCAGCTACTCTGCTAGACATTCACTGGACTTATTGAAGCATTGCTGATACATTATAGAAGATACGATCCCCGGCTACCACCCAGTGAAACCAGAGAGGTTGACAAGGTGCTGTTCCCTGCAGGACCACTGTAAGTGGTGTTACATAGAGAAAGAAGAAGTATCCCTCACACCATATATATTTTCTGAAAATTATTGTGCAGCTAGTCCCATTATTAGACACTGTCGATTGGAACCTATTTTGTGAAATGTAAAGGTGCAGAAGCACAGAATTCAGGTTTCTGGGTTGTCTTGAACTCTCACCCTCAGTAAAAGCTGAGATGAGAGCCATGGGTTCTTTTTGATGACAAGGGATTCAGTTCTAGGACTTGAAGCAAACAAGGACTAAGGGCTCTGGTATAGATTAAGGATGGCTTAGTTACGTTATAGGTGTAGGAAGCATTTAAGTCCTGTATTTGGGCATCCATGCCACACTTTGCCTTTTCCTCCTCAAGTCATCCTTCAGTTTTTCAGCTCCATTTACTCTGGGCTGTAAAACTTTCTACTACTGCATAGTGCATGGCTTCCCAAACTCAGGGATGTAGAGTGACACCCCTATGAATGAACAATACAGGCCTCCTTCCCTACATCCCCTGTAAAGTTCAGCCTAGAAGATACAAGTACATGTATAAAACACTGCCTGCACACATAAAAGAGTTACCTGGCTCATGCAATTGATGTCGTCCCTTTTTCCCTCAACACCCTGCTGGCCAAAGCAGTGGTGTGGAAGGCTCTGGTTCAGCTCCTCTTTCAGTCTCTCTACGATCATTCCCCACCTCATGGTCTCTTTTGTCTTGCTGCATCCCGACAGGACTGCTCCATCATGCATTGCCTGCTGTCTGACTGGCTAAGTCCCATTCCATTCGGAGTTGCCGGATTTTGTGAATCCTTTCTTAGCTACGTGTCTGACCCCAAGAAAGGGATCACCTGAGTCACCTCACAGAGAGTCCTGGGTGGACTCTTTCATGGGCTTCTGCGAGCAGCCAGGCACCTTGAGGCCCAGCACTTCAGGAGGCTGATTGATCCAGTCTTACCATCCACTGAGTTTTAAGAAGGAAATATGTGTAAAATAAATCTAATACAATTATTTACCATGGAATGTGTTTCACTGGATCAAGGCTGAAGGGTGTAGCACCGTGCTGGTTTCAGTCTCAAGTTCAAGCAGAGCTCCCTTATGAGTGATGTGGGGTCCTACAAACATCCCTAGTCCAGTACTGAACAGCAGGAGCATCCTTCCAGTCAGCATAGCTCATAGACTCCTTGCTATTGCTAAGTACAGGAAATTAGGTCAATGTGTTATTGTTAGGCTTAATTTTATGTGGCATATATAAAATCAGCCCTCCTTTTTTATTTCGTTCTCTTTTTTTTTAACAGAAAATGCCCCAAAAACAATAGAGGACGTCGGCAGAAGCAAAACCTAGGCCATTTTACTTCAGATACATCATCCAGAATGGTTTAACTTAGTGCTTTTTATACCTACATTGACCATGTGATGTACATTTTTATTATATCTTTTTTTAAAGAATGGAAATATTTATTTCAGAGGCCTTATTTTTGAACATTTTTAGTGTAACAATGTTGGTCTGTATTCTGAAAGCATCAGCTCTAACAGCTATGGACTGGTTTAGTATCTTTACTTTTATGTTTTTGAATACAGTAGTTCATTTTCTGTATCTGTGTCACATGGTTATATAATAGACTTGTGCTTTATCCATGGAATGTAATATTTTTGGGAACACAGATTTATTCCAACAATGGTTGTAGACTTAAAAAAACCCCAACAAACCAACAAAAAAAAGTCCACATTACCTAACAAACAAGGCATGAACTAAAGGTAAAAATGTTTACAGCTTACTTTTCTTATGAGGAACTAGAAAACACTGTGTTTAAATACCGTAGATATTTAAATGTTTTTGGAAGTTAGTAACTGATTTTTTAGACACTGCCTATCGCATGAACTGTGAAGCTGTGTGCTGTGTGTAGTTGTAACATATTTATAAAATGTGTGGGCTGGGTCTAAGCACTGCCATCTTCATAAATAATTCCAACAATTTATTTTTAAAGAGGAAAATTATAAATTTCATAATTTGGGAAGTTACCTGGTAGAACAGATGGCGCAGGTCCAAAAGAAGTAGGTCTTAGTAGATTTAGGTACTGTAAAAATTGGTGTTGAATAATTGAACAAAAACAATTGGAATAAAGCCTACTTTATCACTGTTAAAAACTGTTTTAATACTTCTTAAACTTTTTTAAAGAAAATACATGTTTTAACACCTACAATATGGATTGTATAGTGTTTGTGATTAAAATTAAAAAATAAAAGTGAATGAATTACTAGTGCTCTTGTATAGAGTATTTTCAAGAGCTAAAGAAGTCCATCCAAATTAGTCTGCTGGTCATAGTTATATTAATAGACTGTTAGTTGTCGTTTGAAAGATCCCAAGATAAAGTGTGAATAGGATGTGTTCAGCTGTTTTAACATGTAGTTTAGGCTTTCAGAATTTTGCATGTAGGATTTAATAATTTGTTCAATAAAAAAAAATGCTTTCAACATTTTGAACTGGAAAAGCATGTCACAATACAACGTTTTCACTATATTGCCTCTGGTTTAGTGTGTTTATTTGTTACCTCACGGGGTAATTGCAGCAAGCTGAAGACCTGAATTTGTTTTGCTGAAAGAAAACAACTGTGCTAATTTTCCTGACTGCTTTTTGAATTCCCTCGGAGGAAAGCACTCCAGTAACATGAAACAAAAGTAAATCTTTAAAAATATGCAAGTTTGCTTTCCTGCTTAATTAGCAAGTTACTTAACTTTCCTGGATTAACACTAATAACCTCATCAGTACAGAAGCGTGACCCTTTAAACGTATGTTCCTTTCCAGATATTGCTTCCTAATTTTAGGGGTTTCATGTTGCTGAAAGTATCTGAACAATCACATGTGGATATTTTATGGTCAGAAGTATTTGACCAAGCTCCAGGAGCGGCGTTTCACGCCCTACTTTGAACATTGCTGGAGCCAGCTGTCACCGTGGCTCCCTGCAACAGCACCAGACTCACTCTGGCAGGATCACCGAACCTTCGCCTCCGTCCAACCTGGCTGAAGGCAGGCAAAATGGATCGCCATGAAAACACCTCAGAGGCTGACAGAACACACCAAAATCGTCTCTCCAGTGTCATTGAGGAGGAAGAAGAACAAGATGCAGCTTACACTATTGTGACAGTCCTGGACAAAGTGGCCAACATTGTCGACAGCGTGCAGGCGAGCCAGAAAAGGATAGAGGAGAAGCACAGGGAGATGGAAAATGCCATCAAGACCATACAGATTGACATTTTAAAGCTTTCCCAGGCTCATGGCAATACAGGCTTCATGGTGAACAAGTTACTGCAGAAAACCAGCAAAGTCAGCTCCACCATGAAGGAGGTGCGGGCTCGCGTGGAGAGGCAGAGCACCAGCGTGCGGAAGGTGAAAGCAAAACAAGAGGAGATGCTGAACAAAAACAAATTCCGGGTCGTAATTTATCAGGTAACCACAAACTTAATTTCTTGTAGTATTGTTGCTTTGCCACCTCCTTGGTAGCTGCTGGTAGGTGTTGGTTAACAAACCAAAAGGTGCAGTCTCTTGAACATGAGTTATTTTGTGCTTTCTTTAACACTGAGCTGTGCTCCTCAACGTCTTTCAGCACAAACCTACTGATGGCAGTACACAGGGTCTATTATTAGTGTTGGTAGATTTCTGAGCCAGTGGTGTAAGATTAACTGCAGATCAGCAAGGACTATTTGCTGCCTTTCTGAAAGGTAATATGAGGCAGGCCCTGTAAATCTTGTCATACAAACCATGCCTGACATTCATCTCTGTTATTTTTTTCACCATATTAGGCAGAAGTGCAAATAGCAAAAGTGTTTTCAGTCTCTCTGGAACACAGACTTTCTTCTAACACTAATTTCAAAATGTGGTTCGTTTAACTTGCAGCGTTGCTCAGGCTCTCCTACTGCTGACAAATTGGAGCTTTTTTCATTGTCTCAGTGTATAACAGTGTATGCACAAACGGAAGCTCAGACCCACAAACCCTTCATGACAAAAAGTACTCCTTTGCACGCTCTACTTCGGAAATGTTTTAACACAGCACTGTTCTTCCAGTTGTATCAGGCAATGAAATAATTTATTTTCTTTCACTAACCTTATTCTAGGATGTTCACTTTTCTTACAAATAATTGCACTTGAAAAGAAGTTTCATGAGAAGTTTGAAGAGAAGTTTTATGAAACAGCATCATCTCACTTGCATCCATACAAACAGTGCAGGAAGTTCATGGGGTCTTGTCAGTGAGTGCTGTGAAACCCACTTGTTACATGGTCTGATCCTGTATTTGCTGGAACTTCCCTGTTACCCAGGTCTATAGAAAGTACGTGTTTAATCTTTTGCCAGAAGCATAGTTGCTCTTTTTTACCAGCGAGTCACCAAAGCTTCTTTCAAATGAGTTGTATTTCTCATTAGGCATTCTTGAAAATACCACACCTCATGAGTAACACAATGCGCCCCCATCACTCAGCTTTACACCCTGCTCTTGCATCTGTTTGTACATAAATAACATCATTTGCAATGAATGGAGCCCTGTGCTTCACCGAGTATATTCACCACCATGTATGGCTGACAAATTCTTCTGCATAATCCAGCTTTCTTAACTGCTTCATTTTCTACTACTGGGAAAAAATACCTTAAAAAAAGGAAAAAGCTGAAGGCAGGAAATATTACCTCTTTAATGTTATGTTAGTACCACATACAGCCAGATTGTGCCTCCTAGATTTTCTAGCTGAATGACTTACTATGCATGTTCAGGAGAAAGTATAGGCCCAATATGACCTATTATTACAATTATTGCGAGCTGCATCATCATGATGGAATAGAAAACAGGCACTTTCACTTTTTCCTTGCAAACCATTTCCCATCTAAAGGTAATAAATATCTCTTGACTCCTCTGGTTAATGGCATAATGCCATTTCATTGATGGGCCTTTACCATAATGGCTGCAGCAGAATCAATGCTTTGAAAGCATTTGTTCTTAAAACAGTATTCATTATATAATGTAAATTTTTCTACTAGCAAGACATGAGTTGTTGTTTATTTAAAAATATAGTAAAATATGGTGAAAATGGATTTACATGCTGCTATAAATAACAGCTGTTGATGTTTTGAGATTCTTGATACAAAAGGTGGCTCTCACAATATGTGCTTTCTCTGAGAATTGCCTTCAGTGGAGTGTCTGAGCTTTCTGCTGGTTTTGCTGGACAAGAATGACCTGCACCCTATTTTGTGTGTTTAATTCTTAGTTGGTACTTTTCAGGAAGGGAACCAGCACTTTTTATTGTTCACTTTCAAGCTTCCTCTTCCCACTGTAGCTGAGAACTGCCAGTGGGAATATGAACAACTCCTTCTTTATCTTCCATTCCTTTTGTAAGGTGGATTGAAGAATCTTTTCCCACTTCCACAGAAGAGGGGCAGATATGTTCATCCATCTGGGATCTGAGATTTTACACTTCCCAGGAGGAGGATAACTGCATCGTTCCACAAAAGCTGGAACATGCTAGGTAGTCTAGAGTCCACTGAAGCTTTAAGGCACAGGTTTAGGAAAGTCTCTTTCACTCAAGTGTGGTGATTTTCACACTGTTGATTTATACCCTTGTAGGCATACTGCGGCAGTGCCAAGACCTGAATGACTGAAGCTTGGCTACGATGAGTGGGAGTCTGTTAATAGCTACAGAATCAGCATACTCCCTTCACTATATGTTACAAGTGGATATAACCAAGTTGTTTACTCTGTGGTTGTGACTGATAGCTCTTCTGTAGTGAGATTTTTTTCTAATGAACCATTTGGGGCATTGTGATGAGGGCAGTGACCTGTGTGTAGCTGGTATTGAATGCCTAGATGAGTGAGTGCATGTGGGTTTGTTTTAACTTTTACTGGAACATCAGCATATGAGGAAAAAGGAAACACCAATTAAATACTAAAGATTTTCTTTCTAGTGGATAGCTTTGATCTTATCATTGATAGAAGGCGTAGGCAGGTTGAAAAGGATCATTGGCTGAAAGAGATTGTTCCAAGACACCTCAGCAATGATGAAAAGAGTTGGCAATATCCTCACATTAAAAAGAGACAAAGTGATCATCCTTGAGCAGAATGATTAGGGAATTGAGCACATTAATTTTTAGAAGGCCATGTGGTTGAGGAAAAGATATGATAGCAGGCAGCCCTTCTCCCCAGGCTGGCTGCATGATTAAAAATGCCAGGTTACTTAAGACTTTCTAGTGAGGTCTTTGACCCTGGAGTGCTATGTGCCCAGAGACTATAATAGGAAATACAAAGGATGTTGTAGGTTGTATAGGTCACTGCTCACTTCTGTTCAGGTTAGTCTGAATAACCAGCTGTGAGAGCTATCATTTCTCTGCAGTCAAAGAGCATTTAACAATTTAAATGATTCTGACTAAATTATTCAGAAAATAAAAGAGGGGTTTTTTGTTTTTTTAATACTGAAAGAACTTGTTTCTTTTGCTTTTCTGCATGTTCTGCAAGTCCCTCTTTGAATGGGGAGTGTACAGGCACCAGAAAGTCCATGTTACGGTTACTGGACTTTTTTCTGTTATTACTTCACACAAGCACTGTAACAATTTCCTGTGAAGGGAGACACATGCATTTGTTTCACTCACTGCTGTCTGACGTTTGAAATTACTGGACATGTCAAAAACCAAGTAAGGTTATGGCTTGACTGGCCTACACAATTATGCTACAACTGATTTGTTTGCCCTGCAATTGCTTCACCACCCACATGGGGAAAGGCTCGCAGAAGCATCCTTGTGTATGCTGCTGATCTTATGCATACATAAATTAAAATATAAGTGTCCTGCCCTGGCCAATGTCCTTCTGTAGCATAATGACTAGGGCAGTAAAAATGGTGAAATCAAGATGGGGACAATAATCTGGAAACCTGAAGTGGAGACACTTTCATCTGAAGGGGCAGTTAGAAATCAGTGTGAGGAGCTCAGGGGATGAAGGCGCTGTGAGATCAGGCTCATGAACTCACTGTCCATCAGCACAGAGTTTTAATTACGGCTATTCTGAGCCAAGCCTGTGAGAGTAACTGTGACAGGAAAGGCAGCAAATATAACACTTCTATTTAGAAACAGACAAAGGAAATCATGTGAACCATTGCCATTAATCTGGTACCATTTGGGCATGAGAATGGCAGGCTCAAAAGGGCTCTGCAGAACAGTATCCTTAGTAGCATGAAGTTTAATAGCTCACTGAGGGCAGATTGTGCTAGGTAGCTCATATTAGATCATTTTTCTGTTTTGCAGAAACATGAGAGATCTTATCCTTTCTCATATTTATGTATCTGGTATTTTACTTCATAACAGATAATCTGGAAAAACAACAGGTAACAGTGGATTGTGTTGAAATTGGAAGTGAGGCTTGCAATGGGTTTCTGAAAGTGTATGTGTTTCTAAGACCATTTTTGTCAACTGTGTAATGTTTTCATTAAAAATCTCAGTACAGAA